GTAGAGGTCCTACAGAATCATCCAGGGGCATACAGGAAGAGAGAAATATCTAACCCCTAGAATAAGGGCTTTGAGTAAGGAGTAGGAGGCCAAAGTCTTTGAAATAAAAATGGCCAGGGCTGAGATTCACCCCTTGATTGAATCTAAAGCCAGTGGGCTAGAGAACCCACCAGGATAATGAGTATGTCAGAGAACCATGTCCTCCTGGTCAATCCAGTGCTATGAGAATCACTGGGATATTCTCCATTTCAAGCCTGCAGAGTAGACAAAGGAAGAGTTAAAAAGGTATAGAACAGGCTGACCTGATCTCATGGAGTCACCAGAGTATCCACTACAATCAGAAATCTACCAAGTCAAAAAAAGTCTAGCCTTGCAAGTCAGGTGCATAGGGTGGCCCAGAGACTGAGTCTGTCTCATGCAACCAGAATGTTGAGTTGCAGCCATCTAGAGTGAAAAATGGGCACACAGCAAGTGAAGTGAATTCTGGGACTGGAGCATCAAAACACAAAAACAGAGGGACAGCAAGTAATCTTAAGACAAGCGAGTCTTGTACAGGGCTGTATTCAATATCAGGCCCAGGTACCCCAACTGAGAAGATGGTTCCAGCAATGACTTCTGTAAATGGAGGAACCACCTGAAACTCTGCAGAGTCCGCGCTGTTCATTAGGCTTTGGTAGAAAGGATATAAGTGGACTAGTCCTACTACAGGAGATTGTCCAGGCAGCCCAATGTGGATACTCTGAGCATGAAGCAGAGCAAGGACTGGAGCAACCACCTTGGTGAAGACCCAGGGTTTCTGTTGACATGGCAAGAGGAAGAGCAACAACGTTGATAATGTTGCATGCCCTCAAAAAAGGTAGATAGCTTTTGATGAAGTGTGAAAGTGGAGATGCCTGAGTAAGCATGTCTCTGATGTCCACACAGATCAGAAGGTCTCCTGGTAGAATGAACAAACTGGCAGAGTCCCGGTAGAGCCAGTGGACCCATAGGAAAGAGTTTATAAATGAACCCATTAGTTCCCGCATTGGGTGAATGCACCCTCAGGTCACCGTAATTTGCTGACAAGCGAGATACAAGTAAGATAATACTAATTAAAGTTACTCACAAAACAATGCAGAGCAGAAAGGGTTAATGGTTGTGTGTGACTAGGGCATATTAGGTTGCTGCACAGACAGTACACCAAAGAGACATTACCAATGTGGGTTACATACAACCCGCTACAGAACAGTAGGGATTAATGGCTGCATATGACTGGGTCACCATAGGCTGCTGTAGAAACAGTACATAAGTGAGACATTACCAACAATGGCTATTCAGAGACTCCTGCAGAGCAGCAGGGGTTAAAGGCTGTGGGACTATGCACCATAGGCTGCTGTACAAAGTTCAACAGTGACCATAGGTTGGAGGACAGCTGTATATGGTGAGATTTAGCCAACCAGGGTCACTCACAGACCACCTGCAGCACAATGGATGACGTGCCATTTGTGGAACCAAGTGTCCCAAGAGGGAGTACTTACAACTGAGAGGAGAGGGCAAGCCTTCCATGCTGGACACTGTATAATGCTAGAGACCAGGTGGCATCCAAGGATCATTGTGCTGCATGTGGGGAGCCGGTAGCAGTGATCTGCCAACAAGGAGAATGCATCCATAGAATCCAAGATGACATGCTTCTGTGCAGTAAGCTTGATTGGGGCACCTGTACGGCAGAGCTTTGACAGTCTGGCCCAAAAATGGCACCCAATTTATAAGTCAGCTGGTGCTCCTGCTCCATGGCTGTGACACACCATTTAAAAAGTCCCAGCCCACTGGGACAGCACCCTGGGACAAGATTAAAGAGCACTAGGTTCAACTTACCATAGCAGAAGTCTTCATAGAACAATGTGGGTTTAAAGGGACAAGCCCCAACCTGGCTTTACCTTCCTACATAGACATAAACCCAAAAGGATCTACAGAGACAAGACTCCATCTGCTAATGGACCACAGCTCTAGACCTGTATAGCACCCTTCGGCTAACTCAACACAGTGCAAAGTTGAGCACCTTTACAAGATATAGTGCCAAAAGTGACATTAAAGGCCATCCACCCCACTCAGACTATATAGTACTGTTTATACTTCCCTTTACATGTCTATGCTCTTGCACCAACCTGCAATTTCTACATGTGCTAACTTATAACTTATTGATTATGTGTAACGCAAAGGGGGGAAAGAACATTTGTGAACAGATTTTCTGTAATGTTATAAAATGCACAATATTAGACAAGTGCATTTTGTGCATTTACCATTCAGTGTCTGCTTGACACATATATTACATGTCCTATTACAAAAATTTTATTGACAACATAGTAATAACTGGGATGTATACTTTGTAGTAAAAAAAATAAAATGTACTGCAGGAAAACAGACAAGTGTAAACAGGCCCTTAATGCTACATACAGTACATATAACGTTAGTGCTCTGATTTTGTAATGTAAACTTGAATGAGCAAAGATGTAAAATTATTACCCTGCTTTTCTGAAATAGATTGTAATAGTTTTTTCTTTAACGTAAGATACCAAAAAAATTGGTTGAGCCTTTCTATTAGTTATCTGAATAGTTTCCCTGATGTATATTTGCTATTAGCATATTTAAAATCTTTGCCCCTGAATATAGTAGCTTCCAATTTAAATTATGCTTGTCGTTACTAATATTCTGACAAATAAACACACTGTAGCACCCCGGATTTTAATGTATACTTGAATTAGTCCTAAGTTCTATGAACTTGGCTTCTGGACTTTATAGTATTCACCTAAACATGCCCCCATGCACATTTCTCTTTCTCAGGGCTCCTAAATCCAGGGTTCTGTATAAAGCAAATACTGACTTCCTCAGAAGTTAGCAATTTATCCTGCTTGCTCCTGTTTCCAATTGCTTGTTGTTGGCAAGGGTTGCCCAAAGTATATCCTTTATAGAAAGTTAAGATTTGCATAAAGGCAGGGGTAGATGACCATTTAAGAGGAACTCTGAGCCCTTCCAGCATAATTTTTAACCCCTTCGCGCCTAAAGGTAAAACAAATCTAAATGCCTAAGCACAATTTTGCAACGTTGACATGTGTTAGCAAAACCGTTCATATCATCACAACTACTTTGTTAATCCAGGTGAATTATACCTTGTTCTTTTCAGGACAATTTGGGCTTTCATTTGGTGGTAAATGGTAATGGATATCTCCTGATTTTTTTTATTATCAAAGGAAAACTGGCCCAAAATAGTAAAAAAAAATTATTTTTTTTATTTAGCTGTGTGTTTCTTGTTACTACCATAACCTACCACCAAAGAACAAACCAAACTTAATACTCCAGCTTTTGACAATCGCAGCAATACCATATATGTTCGTATGTTATTTGTTTGTACCCGTAGTACAGTCCAGAAACAATTGTGCACATTTTGTTTTTGTCTTTTTTTACCTAAAACACACTGACACCAACACCAATTTTTTTTAAAATCCTGACCTTTGACCCTAACATTAACCCAAACACTAACACTGGCACTGACCTAATTTTAACCTTGATCTAGGTATTTTTCTTTATTTTTTTATTTTATTTTTTAATATTTATTTATTTATCTTTTCTTTTTCTTTATTTTTTTTTTTACAAACTTTTTTTTCCCCTCTATTTCAGGAGTTAGAGAGATACAATGTATCTCTCTCCTCCATTCATAGACAGAGGAAAAAAACAATGGGGCCGAGCTGTACAGTGACTGATCACTGTGATAGCCAATCAGAGGCTATCACAGCGATCATGTGACCTGGAATCGGGAGTCCCGGGTCCCAATCGTTAGAACGGGACCCGGTGCTCTCAGTGACACCACAGTCTTTGTGCTGGGAGCGTGCCATGCACAGACAGGTACGCAAATATGCGGCCCCACGTAAAAAAGTCCAGTTCTGTGAGGCCACGTATTTGTGTTACATCGGTGTCAAGGGGTTAATGATACCAGGGAGAAGCACTCCTTACCTCTGTTGAATTGATACGTATTATCAGTGGTCCTATTGTGTCCGTGCCTTGCAACTTCTAAAAACGGAACTTCATCCAAAGAGGGAATATCCACTTCTCTGCCCCTTTAAGTTTTAGCACGTTTTTTTGAAGGGGGGGGGGGCTAGCAGCTACCTGGTTTTGACAGGTACCCTGCAGCCTTCTGGGACATGTCACAGGTTCCAGAAAGCTGCAGGGCCATTCAGAAAGGGTAGTGCAGCTCTCGCATGCACAGTGGGAATCCAGCTGTGAGGACTCAAGTAGTTACTGCTGGCTTTCCAAAGTGAGCATGCCAGCGCCTGGACACAAAGATGACTGAAGAGCTGGCTCGGGTGAGGACAATGCTATATCCCTGGACTGGTAAGTGTCATATTATTAAAAGACAGCAGCTACAGTATTTGCTGCTGATGACTTTTACATTTTTATTTGTAGGGTGAAGAATGGCTTTAACGAGACCTCAATGCCTTGCCTAATACAGGGTCTCAGGGTTTTGCTCTGCCATGTTACTTTGTAAAAAACTGTGCATGTAGGCATCTTCAGGTGTTATAAAGTCCAGATGTTAGTGTAACGTCCATAGAGCCACTGCTGCTTTGCTTTTAGCTGGCCTAACACAATAAGATTTTAACTGCTCAGCTCAGTAAATTTTACTTACAACCAATTTAATATAAGAGTAATATTACTGGATTTAAAGTGAAATATTAAAGATGGGTGTACCTGTTACAAGGTTTTAGCAACCAGCCAACACAAAATGTTTACCCTGTATGGCCAACTCTAGAGACACAATAATGCTGGTGTGGCTCAATACTGGGTATCAGAAGCTGGTAAAGGCATTTGGGGTAAAGCATATGACTTCCTAATCTTAAATCCAGTAAAGTACAATCTTTTTAATTAAATAATACACATTAGCACACTTTACAGAGCCAGCTGGGTATCAGACTTGCAGCAATATAACAGGGCAAAACATACTTCTAAGGTAAAATAAAGACAAATCAAGGTCAAATGCATTTTGTTTCCGTTGTCTTTAGGAGACGTAGTATACGTTCATTTTGTGTGAGGTCTGCTGGTAATTCACTGACCTGAAATAAAAAAATAGGGGTTATAATGTATGTAAACCCAAATACTAATGTATAATAATAGCTCCCTTTTGTTACAGTTTTTTATATTAGCAAAAGTATTTAATAAATACATGTTTAATAAATACAGTTTCTGCTGTCTTTGAATACTTCCTTTAAAGAGGTGACAATGCTAACCCACCAGCTCCCATTGCTGCAGGAGCATTGTCACCTTGTACAGGCATCTGTGCTTTCATCCAATCACCTGCAGTAATAACTCCCTGCTTTTTGACAGACAGCTGCCCTATCCATTGAGCAGCCAAGACTGAGCCTTCCTTTTCAGTGATGATAAAGGCAACCTCAAGTAGCTTTTTCCTTTAAAAAAATATTTTGATAACACAGAGGAGAGCTGTCCACTGTCTTTTTCTTTTTGCCATCTGTGTCTCGTTAGGGAGATTTCCCTTCACTGAGAGAGTGAGAGGATATCTTTCCAATGTAATGGAAACAAGTGTCATTATTGGACGTTTTTTTTGCTTTTACTCCTGTTCTGTTGGTAACACAAAATGTAATTTCCGGTGACATTAATTATCAGTACACTAAGGCTGGCCTTACACGACACAATTTTCTTGAGATTTTTGGTTTAGATTTACCAAAATCCATATAATAGGAGGTCCAACCTAACAACACTTTCACTTGTATCCAATTAGGCAGGCTCTTGCACTACATAGTTGAAGGTAAATCTAAAGGAAATTGGGCAGAAATTGGACGGAAAATTGTATAGTGTACGGCCAGCCTTAGTGTTAATCTTACTAATGAAAACACAGACAACGATAAATACCTGACAGTGATTCTAACCCCCCACCACTCTATCCAAATCTAAAGAAAAGGTTTTGCCTTTAGTTATATTTTAAATATTACTTTTGAAGATAAATTCACGAGATATGCATGTGCTTCCCACTGTGTTGAATCTATATTAATTAGACCGTGTCCAATTTATATTATCATAACGTGAGTGGCTCCCTAATTTTATATTTAAAGTGGTTATTCACCTTATTTCTGATTGAAGGATTGGCTCCTGCTTCCAGGAGAAGGGCCACTGACTTGATGCTTCCACTGAGCACTGCAGCATGGAGAGCTGTGGATCCATTCTATTTAAAAAGAAAGTAGAGTGTGTTTATTACCAAAGCTGTGTGTGTATGCCACAATGCAAATAAAGGAAGTTACTTAGCACAGACGATCATTTTACTGGATAGGAACTTTATCATACAGATGGTAACAGTGCCTAAAACCTCTAAGGAAGAGGCAAGTCCTCGAAACGCATCAATCTATTGGATGTCTATACTCCCTATTGCGGACAGTCACGTAGTGCGATGTTGACCAAGCTGTTCTTTTATGATGTGCCTTTGACTTTATAAATAAAAATGGTGCCGCGCCCTTATATTGTACCCATGAATAAATAAATAAAATCAATATTTAAATAATAATTAAATGTTTAAATAATAAATTAATACCCTAATTAATCAGAATGTAAAATGTGCAATTCATTATAAAAATGTGATTCATTATTATAGAGAAAGGAAAAAAAAATATATAAATATATATATATATATATATATCTCAAAAAATTAAATAAATAAATCCCAGCTAAAATAAATAAATAAATGAATCAAAAATATATATATACTGGAAAATCAATAAATAGTTGATAACTGTCCAATGTAGGTGAGAGTCCAATCATTAGTGAGATCCCATCAGAGTGGAACTGTTCACCATAACTTACTGTTCACATGATTCCAAATAAAGATGCTCAAAATAAAATAAGTTACTTGGTGTATTCTTCTATGAGTAGCAGACTGAATGGTTCTCCTCTTTGCTCCTACTATTCTGCTGTAAATGGATCCTGGATGAGGTCCTCCCTCCAACAGATGTTATTTGCTTTCTCCCTATTACTCAGCGTGATGCCAAAGGGGAAAAAAGAGAGGGATAGTGCCTTATCCTTGGTAAGAATATAAATTTATTAGTGCCAATTTTGCACTTACAGATATTAAAACATCAAATCCCGACGTCACCATGTACCCGACTCCTATGCATGGCGAGTACAGGAAGTGTGTGTCCACACACCGCTCAGGCTGGACACAGTATACACTCAAAGCGATTTGATGTTTTTATATCCATAAGTGCAAAATTGGCACTAATAAATTTATATTCTTACCAAGGATAAGGCACTATCCCTCTCTTTTTTCCCCTTTGGCATCACGCTGAGTAATAGGGAGAAAGCAAATAACATCTGTTGGAGGGAGGACCTCATCCAGGATCCATTTACAGAAGAATAGTAGGAGCAAAGAGGAGAACCATTCAGTCTGCTACTCATAGAAGAATACACCAAGTAACTTATTTTATTTTGAGCATCTTTATTTGGAATCATGTGAACAGTAAGTTATGGTGAACAGTTCCACTCTGATGGGATCTCACTAATGATTGGACTCTCACCTACATTGGACAGTTATCAACTACTTATTGATTTTCCAGTATATATATATTTTTGATTCATTTATTTATTTATTTTAGCTGGGATTTATTTATTTAATTTTATATATATATATATATATATATATATATATATATATATATATATATTTATATTTTTTTTTCCTTTCTCTATAATAATGAATCACATTTTTATAATGAATTGCACATTTTACATTCTGATTAATTAAGGGTATTAATTTATTATTTAAACATTTAATTATTATTTAAATATTGATTTTATTTATTTATTCATGGGTACAATATAAGGGCGCGGCACCATTTTTATTTTTAAATTGTCATTTTTAGTACATATAATGAGGATGTAGCTAGGAGCCTGCGAACTTATTCTATACTAAATATTTGTGGTGGCTCACAGGACATATTTATCCTATTTTGCCTTTGACTTTACTGTCGTTTGTGAGTACAACACCTACTTTTATTTCTTATTAAACATTTTTTATGGTAATGTACTAGGCCCGTGTGCCCTCTGTTTGTTCTTTCTTCATTTAGTATATTTGGATTTCCCCAGTCTATTGAGGGCTGCAAGGTGTGCATGTTCCAGGACATTCTTGATGTGGTTGTAGCCTGCATTGAGTCCATCCCCAAGTGCAGGAGCATTTGTGTTTGCTGATTCAGTGCCTAACACCAGACTGATTGTTGGCAAGGTTGCGTTAGGTTTTTAGGCATATGGTGGAGCCATTCCTTGCAGCCAAGGGATGGCATGTTTACAACATGCTCATTTTAGTCACGCACTCTCATTGAAAACATGTCAATAAGCTTAAACTTTTAATATTTAAAACTTTAATTAATTTTATCCAGAAATTCATCCACCATGTATCTACCTCAAAAACAACTTGCCAAAAGTTAAAAATGTTTAAAAAATAATAGTCCTACCTAAGTACAAGCACTACTTTTAAATTGTGGAAAATGCTCTGATTGTAATCTCTATGGGAGGGATGTGGTGATGTTCTTTTCTAGGTACAATGTCATTACAGAAAGACTTATTTACAGTAACTAGAGTAAAGATGCCTACAGACCTCAGACAGTAGCCCACCATGCATGTATAAGCCGGTCACTGAGCAATCTTTTTTCTATGGAGCAGGGAAGCATCTGGGCAACATTTGTCTATACTAGGAAAATAATAGCATTGGACAGAAGAATTCAAGCTGGCCAATCACTTCATCCTCTAAGAATACTTGGCTCAGGAATGACTGCCATGTTCGGGATGGTCATACAGACATTAAATATTTGCCTGATCTGACCATTACTACGCCTTTACAGTGGAACAAATGCAGAGCTTTTACCTAAAGTAACCAATTTAAGACAAAACCTGGTATAGCAATGACTTCCCTTCCCTGTCTTCCAGATTTTGTACATTTGAGCTCCAGATTTTGATTCTCAGAGTAAGTCTGTTGGCAGAATAGTGAAAACTAGTAAACAAAATCATTATCAATTGCCCTAACACAACCAAGGACTAGAGCTAGAACACTGAACATCTGGATTTTACAAATGTAGCCAAAAGCATATATGGTCAAATGTTATAATAAGTATAAAGTGGAAATAAATGCAGTGCATCCCATAAATAATGTGGATTGCAGAGGCTTGGCGCTGACAGACAAGCATACGTCTTACCTTCAGAACACCAAGTGTGGGAGAAAACTTCAACAGTTCTTCTACAACATCGCTGAAACCCTTAGCAGCAGCTTTAAACAAAGCAGAAGTGCCATCCTAGAAACAATGGAGTAAAACAATAGAATTATTTTATTTTCATGTTCAATATAATGAGAAACACTGGGGGGTTATTTACTAAATCTGAAGAGTGTAAAATCTAGTGCAACTCTGCATAGAAGCCAGTCAGCCACCAGGTTTTATTGTCAAAGCTTAATTGAACAAGCTGAGGTTAGAAACTGATTGGCCGCAATGCACAACTTACCAGATTCTGAATGCACCAGTTTTAGTAAATCTACCCAACTGTTCTGGGATTCTGACCACACAGCATGCTTCCAGGAAGAAGTCTGAGGAAAGGGACTCGTTCCAAAAACGCATCAGCAAGCCGACCATGCTGACAGTTGGACACCCCGCCAATGTTATGGCCATCTCTACCGATCTACTAAGCTTTACATTTATGCCATGTTTGTGAGTATGTTTTCATCCTCTTTACTTTTAATAAATCTTGGATAATGCACTAGAGGTTTGCGCCTCCTGTTTGCTCTTTTTATGGCCTGATATGCTATAAACTACAGCAATGACTAATATCATTGCAAATTATTTAAAAAAAAAGGTTTTTGAGGCAACCCTTAAGCCCTAATTAGATCCATTTTATCTTGATTATGCCATTTTATTATGTCAATTTATAAAGTAATTTTTAAATTCAGATTGGCTTAAAGAACTCCAGCCAGCATTTAGTTCATTGCTACTGTTTTCCATTACACCCAACAGTGACACAATAGGAATGAAAAATCTCCTAAATGGATAAACAAACATCAACAAAAATACTAACTTTTTCCCACTCCACTAGTAATGTGCTTTTATTATTATCTCTGTCACCATTGGAGAGATTTGTTTCATTTCACATCCCAGTGGCTTCCAACAGAGGCACATACAAACCTAACTAGAAATATAATGCTTTCCCATTTTTTACAGGTTTCGACTAGAAGTTATTATAGCACATTTTCATATGTCTGTGCCTAGTGACAATGGTGATGTGCTAACAAGCAAAGTATAAGATTACTTACAATTCGTAAAGCATCTCGTTCAGCTCCTCTTAGCAGCAGCACCCTGACCACCTCACTGAACCCCAGCTGTGCTGCTATCCAAAGAGCAGTGGTTCCATCCTGGCATAGAGAATATTACTTTAGCCACACAATGAAAGACAATGTATTTTTTTTTTACTGTATAACCACACACGTTATTTTGCTGTATGATTTAGCAGCAATTTTCCTTCCATAGTGATGTGTTATCTTTTGATTCCACTAGATGGCATAATGCACTTTGAAATATTTTCATCAAACTTTCCTTAGCCTATACTTGTCTATCTTCACCATTTTCCTTAAAGTGTTACATAACCCACAACAGTAAAATCAGTCTGTATATGCAGTAAAGCATGCTTGTTATACTCACTGTGGAACCTAAGGTGTTAATCTTTTGCACTGTGTAAAAAGGCTGTTTGACCCTGTCTTCTCTGATCCTCCCCTTCTTTCAGTGTCCCCCTCTTTTCTCTTGATAAGACATATCGTCTGGAGTCACTCTGCACATTTTGGTGTGTATTGCTAGAGAGGTTTTTTTTTTTCTGGGACAGTGCATGTGATCAGCACAGGGCCAATCAGCACTGTCCAGACAGAGGTCAAGGGTTCTGCATCCTCCTAGAGCAGAATGAAAACTCATCCTACAAGCTTTAACCAGTGCTTGGCTGGACACTGATAGAAGTCACAAGATTGCTATATACTGCTGATGAGAAAAAGTATTTAGCAGTTTGTATTTACTAAAATAATTGCATTTCCATGTTCTGTGTACTGTGGGAGACCAGATATAGTGAATGCAGGGTCCTGGGTTTAGTAACACTTTAACTATTGACAGTAAACAGTATCCTGAAACTGGTGTTTGATGCTCTCTTGCTTTCTCCCTCTTGCCTGTTTTCTTTCCTTTCCTTCTGTTGCTATAGTCCTCTTATTGCAGCATTCAGCCAGCAGATTGGCTTATTCTTTATGGATCACACACACCAGATGGATGAAGACCTTTGAACTCTATGAGAATGTTTGCTTTAAATTTTTTAGTTTATTTTTGCATTGAGTGTCCGACTCTATGGAGTTGATTTACTAAAACTGGAGAGTGCAAAATCTGGTGCACCCAGGGGCGGACTGACCATTTGGAAACTCGAGCACTGCCTGAGGGCTCGGGGTCAGTAGGGGGCCCCATGAGATGCCCCTGGTACCTTTTTCACAGGCTTTTTTGAGTTTGGCAAGGACACAGGGGCCCCATGATCCCCTATTTCCCGGGGGCCCCATGAGTTGTCAGTCTGCCCCTGGGTGCACCTCTGCATAGAAACCAATCAGTTTCCAGATTTTATTGCCAAAGCTTAATTGATGAAGCTGAAGTTAAAAGCTGATTGGATACTATGCACAGCTGCACAGGATTTTGAGTGCACCAATTTTAGTAAATCTACACCTATGAGTAGATGGGGGTTTGAATGTGCGTAAGCTGCTACCTTTCATTACCTCAGTCTTTATTATTATTTCATCTCTAATCATCGTATCTCAATAAACTTTGAATATGTAAAAATCATTGCGTTTGAATTGTTATGTAGCGCATGTTTCGTGCTGTATTCTCTAAGATCTAATTAATTGTCATACTCTGAAACCCCATAAAAAGCACTGGTGGTATGAAACACAAAAAACTGGAAGAATTTGGAATGTTCGTGTTTCCCATTCCAGCTTCGTTTTTTCCTGCAAGGACAGTTCACATGACTAGTTGTGTGCTATAACTAAATACCAATTCCACCTTCTCTCTCACCCCATACAATACCATGGTCATTATAAGCAGCATTGTCCAATAACTTAAAATAATATCTAATAAGTGCTGATGTGAGAATACAGTACAACTGCTTCATCCTACTTTGCTACAAGTCCACCCATGATTAAAATTTCCCTTCATTTTTACAGCAGAGGTAATAGGTGAAGACTGTTTTGACCTTGACCTGAAAAACTTTTTTTTTACTTTTTCCCAATCAGCAGATTTCCTGCTTCATCAAGAGTCGCTAGAAAACTGCAATGTTGGTTAGACCAAATTTAAAGAAAGAAATATAGTCAGGAATACACATTTGTTAGAATCTACTCTGCATTAGGGCTGATTCACACCAGATGCAGTCCAGTGCATTTTTAATCTGTATCAAAAATGCATACACAGTGTTTTCCATGTATTCCAATGGCCCAGGTCCACACCAGTGCAGCGTGTTCCAGTGTATTCAACAAAATTGGAACGTGCCGCAATATTTCTGTATGGAACATATCAGAAATGTGGCAAATAGCAATGAAAAATGTACAAGAAGACATTTGTCCTGAATTGAGATGAAGAAAAAAAAAAGGGGGAAAATAGCACCAGAACCTATCAAAAACCCGCATCCAGACATGCATCTGGAACACAGAAATTGTGGCATGAACAGGCCCTTAGTCTAGGTTCACACCTAAGTGTTTTTCCGCAGTGTTTTTCAGATATGCACTACAGTCCATTTAACATGATTTCCTATGGGAAACATTCACATCTCCATGTTTTCACCCAGTGCGCTTTTTGGAAAGGGTCAGGGACTTTTTTAAAAGCAAAAAGTTGCGTTTTCGGTTCTATAACGAAAAACTGCAAAAAAGCATGTAGTGCATTTTTTATGCCTTTTTGCCACTTTTTTTTAATACGTTTTGCGTTTTAAACCTGCCTAGCAACAAGAAAAAAAAAAATGCATCAAAAACTCACTGCAGAAACGGATCAAACGCAAACTGCATGGGTGTGAACCTAGCCTTATTCCTTGTCAGAGAGGAATTTTCCTTTCAGTCTCATGGAAGCTAAACTATCTCCTACCAGAGCTCAGACACTAGGGGAGGATAAAATGGTCAGTCAATTTGTTATAGCCTTTTGCTTTACTTCATGTAATCTTGCCGGTGCTATTGTTATATGAAAGTAGCTATTATTAACACAGAGTTTTTGCAGGAGATAAGGTAACCATATAGACCAAGGTTTCCCATCCAGGGTTCCATGGAACCCTAGAGCTCCTCCAGAGCTTTCTAGGGGTTCCTTGCACAATGAGCAATTCCTACCTCTCAAAAAAACGTTTCCACTGACATCATGGGTCTTTTTAGCTATCTGTAAGAGGGTAATTCTTCTCAACAACCAAAAGTGTAAGGAGCATTCATTCCACTGCCGTCTCACTAATGTATTATAAGTTGTAGATAAAGTAAGTTTTAGCACAGGTTCCCTGAGACTGGAAAGTTAATTCAAGGGTTCCTCCATGCTGAAAAGGTTGAGAAAGGCTGATATAGAATGACACTTCTGGTCTGACAGGGAGAAAATACAAGTAAGTAATAATACAAGAAGAGTAAACATTGAAAGGCAAGACTGCACTGTTATAGCAATTCAAGAGTGGAGATGCAGATTATTACCACTGACGACTGGTTCACTTTAAACCATAGTGTTAACAATGCTTCTGTGTTATGCCATTTCAGAGTCAACATCCTGCATTGCTTAACTAAGTGAAATAAGAATACTCCTCTGTGAGACTTCCATTTTAAATGGAACTGCAGCAAAAAGTTTTTATATTTTGGAAGATAGAAGTAGTTAGAACTGATTATTATAGCTGTGTAGGGGAGATTTCCCCGCACTTCCTGTTTGGAACACATCAAGTGTATTGCTGATGTGAGCTGAACTTTCAGTCTTTTTTTTTTTAAAGCCCATATATTTCTTTAGATGACTCGGCAATTTCCGTACAGTCAGGTGGCGCCATTTTGCTTCTGTGAGCGGAGTGGTGGAGGTGTTGTACAAGGAGTGTGTGAGCGGCGCGGCCATGGATGACATTGTTACTGATGTTGCGGTTGGTGTCAAGCATTTTGGAGTTAAGATATGCTGAAGGAGGTGAAGAGCTTTTGTACCAGCATACCGTCCTGGGTTAAAGGGAAAGGCGCAGTCTGACCTGAGTATTCAGGTCAAACCAGAAGGTGAGCGCAATAGTGTGTCGGAGGTGGATAAGCACTGAGGGGTGACACAAGAGCGCCATATGTGTGTGTATATATATATATATATATATATATATATATATACGTAGTAGAGTGATCACACAAATGCACTTGGAGCACAGTGGTCTTAAAGTGACAGTTTACCAGCAATTTTATACCATAACATTGGGGCACTTGCTTGATGGTATATGATGCACAGGAGGCATATTGCATAAGCACATGTGAAGATTTCGGAGTATTAAATGGACAGTTCACCATGTATATAATTAATTTGGTATTTGGATACATTATTATTTAGCACTGGTATATGCAGTTTATTTACATACTGTATATGTGTTGATATTTATTTGATGTAGCACATATTATTGTCACAAAGCACAATTGTATTCACATATGTACATTGATTTATTTAGCACTTGGGTTTATAGTACTGCGCTGCTGTGTTTTATAACACATCAAGTGTCTTGCTGATGTGAGCTGAACTTTCAGTCTTTTTTTAATAAAGCCTGTGGTGAAACTCGAAAAATTAGAATATCATGCAAAAGTTCATCTATTTCAGTAATGCAACTTAAAAGGTGAAACTAATATAAGAGATAGACTCATTACATGCAAAGCAAGATAGTTCAAGCCGTGATTTGTCATAATTGTGATGATTATGGCTTACAGCTCATGAAAACCCCAAATCCACAATCTCAGAAAATTAGAATATTGTGAAAAGGTGCAATATTCTAGGCTCAAAGTGTCCCACTCCAATCAGCTAATTCAGCCATAACACCTGCAAAGGGTTCCTGAGCCTTTAAATGGTCTCTCAGCCTGGTTCAGTAGGAATCACAATCATGGGAAAGACTGCTGACCTGACAGTTGTGCAGAAAACCATCATTGACACCATCCATAAGGAGGGAAAGCCTCAAAAGGTAATTGCAAAAGAAGCTGGATGTTCCCAAAGTGCACAAGCAGCAGGGATGACCACAGCCTGGAGAGGATTGTCAGGAAAAGGCCATTCAAAAGTGTTGGGGACTTTCACAAGGAGAGGACTGAGGCTGGAGTCAGTGCATCAAGAGCCACTACACACAGACGGATCCTGGACATGGGCTTCAAATGTCGTTTTCAGGCAGTAATTGCTGCAAAAGGGGCCCAAACCAAGTACTGAGTATATATGCATGCTTATACTTTTCAGAGGTCTGATATTGTTCTATGTAAAATCCTTGTTTTATTGATTGCATGTAATATTCTAATTTTCTGAGATTGTGGATTTGGGGTTTTCATGAGCTGTAAGCCATAATCATCAAAATTATGACAAATCACGGCTTGAACTATCTTGCTTTGCATGTAATGAGTTTATCTCATATATTCCTTTTACCTTTTAAGTTGCATTACTGAAATAAATGAACTTTTGCACGATATTCTAATTTTTCGAGTTTCACCTGTATAATTCTTTAGATGATTTACTGGTAGCTAATGTTGCTCAACTCACTACAATATTCTGGGTATCATTGAGACAGGAAATAAGATGAAACCTCCACAGTAGCCTGAAAAAAGAAATAAAGGCTGGAGTTGCATTTTATTCATTTTTTGGGTGTCCTCCTCTTAGTACATCTGTTGCTAACTCATCACCAGGGGCGGACTGACCATTTGGAAACTCGGGCACTGCCCGAGGGCCCGGGGTCAGTAGGGGGCCCCATGACATGCACCTGGTACCTTTTTCATAGGCTTTTTTGAGTTTGGGCAAGGACACAGGGGCCCCATGATCCCCTATTGCCCTGGAGCCCCATGAGTTGTCAGTCCGCCCCTGCTCATCACATGTATGTTGCTTAACCCGACTTTTCACCAGCCTCCATATAATTATCTTGCAAACTGAGCTCTTAGTAAATGCTTATTATATTGATTTAGTGATATGTCATTTTTATATTTTTAATTTTTTATATTTCAAGAACTGTTTAATCTTTTTTTTCGTACTTGGATCAATCACATCAAGGGAGTTGGTAGCTGCAGTATTGCTGATTAAGCTGCCATTATGTTTACACTTTCTGTAAGACCTGCTGCACACTGATGCAATTTTGCATGCATCCCCTGGGGCATAAATCCAAATCGCAGCTGTATCCAAATCACACGAAAAGACGCACTGCAATCACAGCTGAACCGCATTTGAATTGTACTGGAGGTGCTCCTTGAATCGCACTAGAAAACTGAATAAACTTGCACCATATCAGTGTGAACCTAGCCTAAAAGGGTGACAACACTATTCATTCTACAGTAAAATCACACAGCAGCATATGTGTGGACAGGGTAGTCTACTTCAACAGCAAACAAATTAAAACCCAAACACAGCAAACTGGGCAGCAGAGTGGCTAAATGTTGTGGGTAGAACTTCTGGCTGGCAGTACTAGGGTCGTTGGTTCAAATCCCAGCTACGGCACCTCCTGCCTGGAGTTTGCATGTTCTCCCTGTGCCTGTGTGGGTTTCCTCTGGGTACTCTGGTTTCCTCCCACACTCCAAAAGACATGCTGGTAGGTTAATTGGATCCTGTCTAAATTGGCCCTAGTATGTGTATGTATGAATGTGAGTTAGGGACTAATGTAAATGTACTACATATATATAATGTAAAATGCTGCATAAACTGACAGCGCTATATAAGTACCTGAAATAAATAAATAACACTTTTTAAGCAGGTACAGCCATTAATTTAACTTTTTTTAAATAGAATTAAGCCAAAAGCTGTAGTAAGCACCCTACCAATGTAATATAATTTATTCCTGTTACAGGAAGGGGAAAAACAAAAATAACAGAAAAAACATAAAAACAAAAACTTCTCAGTTAATGCTAATGACAGATTGTATCACATATCTACATTTTAATTTTGCCTACAGGTACACTTTTTTTTGCACAATTCCTCTTTGGTCTTTTGACCAAAGTCCATGGTCTTAGTGCAAAATCTTTGACTTTCAGCTAACAATTTTGTCTTTGTAAAACATTAAACATATAAAACCTGACCAGAAATGGAATGGGAAAAGTACAGGGCACAGACAGGTTATACTGGATATATAATGAGTAGAGTAAATTCAGCAGCTACGTTATACAATTACCTGGCGTGGCTGATTCGCCTTTGCCCCATACGTAAGCAATAATCGAATGATATCCACAAACCCTCCCTGTGCAGCCAGAAATAGTGAAGTTGCCCCATCCTAGAACAAAAAAACAGAAATAAGCACATCAAAGTATATGTTTAACACAATAAAGCTCATAAGGATAAATATAGAGGTGTGTAGTATTTTCCAGATTCCTATAGCCAAACAGTAAATACATTCTTGCTCTCCATGGTTGCTATGGGTTTGTTGAAATTTAGTTTGGTATTAGAAGTGTTGTCCTCTGGCCCCAGCAGTCAGTATTGGGAGCAATAAAAGGAAGCTTTAATAGCAGTAATCTCTAGCAGTTTTGTGTAGCATGTCCCCAGACTCTGAGGGGTTTATTTACTAAAGCTGGAGAGTGCAAAATCAGGCTCACTTATGCATGGAAACCAATCATCTTCTAACCTCAGTTTTTTAAATTAAGTTTTGAAAAAAAACCTGGAAGCTGATTGGTTCCTATGCAGAAGTGAGCCTGATTTTGCACGCTACAACTTTAGTAAATAAACCCCTGGCTGTCTCCTACAGCATGACTTCAGTCTCCAACTAGTCCTGTAGAACAGTCCCTGACCATTTCTTCTAGTATACATTCAGTCTATGATCATCTTCTGTTGCATTACTGAGAATAATTAAACTGGTGGGTTGTGGGGGGGTTACCACATCACGAATCATAAAAAAATCACAAAACCCAAAACACATAGACCCTAATTTAAGGGGCAGAAAACAAGGTAAAGTTATGGGATTCTATCGGCACCCCAAAGACTTTTTGTCTTTGGAGTGGCAATTAAGTACCATCACATCTTTTCTGCCCTGTAAATTACGGTCCATGTGTTTTTGTGTTTGCTGTTACATCACATATAATAAATATTATATGCAACCCTTTTCAGGGGCCACATTTGATACCATGGAAGTTGACTACCACTGATAGCAACTGTGTTATCTTTTTTTGTGTTACTATTTAGGCCGAATTAAAAAAAAAATGAATATTGTTTTCCCTACTTGACATACTATACATTTACGTAATGCACACGTTGCATGTCCACAATCTCTGACTGTCTAATCTAGTATGTTTACAGCTTCCAACAATCATCTGTAGTATTATGTGTGGTCTTTCGGTGCTGTTAGGGATGGCAACTGAGGTCCCCTATACCTTATGGACTAGAGGCATAATATCCACATGTGAATATGGAAAAAAGTAACAGAAGGATGGTACAGCAAACATTAGAAATGAGAAAGTTGTATTAAAAAATATTTTAATGATAGCTGTTCAATGATAACACAAAATATGTGTTTACTGAAGTTACACAATAATTTCCTTTTTTACTCAGCAACAGCAGAATTAATATGAAAACTATTTGTACATTTTTCTAAAGTGTTCTCCAAAACTACTCCAGATTCACAGGCTTATATATATTGAACACATAAGTGGCCCTCCTTCCTATCTGCCTCCCATCAAGTACAGGGGTCCAAAGGCAATTGGGGGGGGTCCTGAGTAATTGTCCTGCTTGAAATGCTATAGTTGACCCAGGAATTTTAATGATGGGTGTATGCCATGTTTTGTGTTACAGTTGCCAGATGATACAGACTTGTAAATCAGATATTTTTCTAACTCAGCTGCACCAAGCAATAAATGATATTAACTTGTTCGTACAGGAATTTATACATGTAATGTATGCATTCACAAGCTAAAAATAAAGATACCTGCAAGTGTACGTGGACTTTTTGCCAAGTTTACCCTACCTCACCCAAGACGTCTGCCTTATGGGCACACGTTCATATTGTAATTCATGTTCAAATCAGCCAGAGTACTGGTTAAATAAGGTCACTGATTTCTTCTTGAAGCAAACTTTCAGTGTATGGGTAGGAACTAAAATTATACATCGTGTAGGTTTTGCACTGCTAAGTATATCAGCCTTAAGAAATATACTCCACACATAAACAAAAAAAATCATAGCAGCAGTGCTGAAGGTCAGTTAAAATGTCAATTAGGATGAACGTTCCTATGGTCTGTATTCTTTTGGTTCTTTGTAGACAAATGTACATGTACTATATTGCCAAAAGTATTGGGACACCCCTCCAAATCATTGGATTCAGGTGTTCCAATCACTTCCATGGCCACAGGTGTATAAAATCAAGCACCTAGGCATGTAGACTGCTTTTACCAACATTTGTGAAAGAATGGGTTGCTCTCAGGAGCTCAGTGAATTTAAGCGTGGTATCATGATAATTTGCCACCTGTGCAATAAGTCCATCCATGGAATTTCCTTGCTGCTAAATATTCCACGGTCAACTGTTAGTTGTATTATAACAAAGTGGAAGCAACTGGGAACAACAGCAACTCAGCCACGAAGTGGTAGGCCACATAAAATGACAAAGCGGGGTCAGCGCATGCTGAAGCGCACAGTGCGCAGAAGTCACCAACTGTTTGCAGAGTCAATAGCTAAAGACCTCCAAACTTTGTGTGGCCTTCAGATTAACATAACAGTGCACAGAGAGCTTCATGGAATGGGTTTCCATGGCTGAGCAAGTGCATCCAAGCCTTACATCACCAAGTGCAATGCAAAGCGTTGGATGCAGTGATGAAAAGCACACCAAGAGAGGGTTGTTCATTCTCCAGCTGCTAATGCACTGACAATACCATTTACAAAACCCACGTGCCATTTTTGTACTGATGTAGCCAGGTGCTGGCTGTGTTATAATGGAAATCAAGGGACACTGACAAGTTGAACTATGGGTTAAGCCAGCCTTTCTCAACCAGGGTGCCCAGGCACCCTGGGGTGCCATGAGGTTTTCTTCCGGGGCAAAACGTCTAAAAATTGCTCAAAACATGTATACAAGCCAGCGGGTGGAACAATCCTGCCTTTTAGTTACACATAGCCACAGGTTTTCATTGTGCACCATTACGACCTTCTAGCCGCCGGTGTCCTGACAACCAATTACATCATCAATTGATGAAGATGTCAGCTGCCTGCACAGCATCCTAGTATGACCCTCCCCCACCCCTCTCCATCAGTGCAGGGGTCACATTAGCTCAGTGATGGAGAAAAACCTGAGGGAGAAGAGAAACATTGGAATACTAGTCAGTACCAGTGAGCAAAAGTGTATTTTCTTTGGAAGAATAAATCCCCTCTAATGTTGGGTGTCCTACATGTGTGAATGTTGCTGTGATATATAAAACTATTAGAATAGTTTTTCACATTTTAGAATGGGGTGCCTCAAGACTGTCCATAATTTGAAAGGGTGCCTTGACTGAAAAAAGGTTGAGAAACACTAGGTTAAGCATTTCCCCTCTGGTGCCCAATATTCAGACTATTACATCACTTCCTGTGAGCAGAGTGAGATAGCCTGTAAAGCATTGCACTAGTGATCAGTGGGCCGCTGATGCCATGCAGAGCTCCTGCAAACTGTCAGTGTATTCACTTCTTGTACATCCCATACAGGCAAACCGATACTTCTGACAGGAAGACTCAATGAACTACCACAGTGCTCACCATGGTAGTTCATTAAAAACTGCAAGCCGACAGGCTGTTGGGACTTCTAGTCCATTCATTCACAGAACTCTGTGAATGAATGATGAGGCCATGTAGGTGAAGCCCTGCACGGCTACACTGTTTTTATAAAGTGACAGCTAGTACAGGGAACTTCTCCCCATACTGCTTTCACAGGGAGGGAAGGGGGGAATAGGGTAGCTGCAGGATTGGGAACATGTTACATGTTCCAAACTAAAAAACAGGTAGAACATGTAACATGTTCCCAAAGGTGAACTTATCCTTTAAAATCACCATTGGAGCAGGGATATGGATACTACTAAATTACATAGACACCTTGTTTATCCCATATATACAGTCACAAATTCTATATCTGTCAATCCTTTTCCATGAGGAAACCACTAATAGTATCAGACTAAAAAAATCCAGGGCAGAATTTGCAGCCTCTTAACCCTAAACTTTTGTTTCACATATCTTCCTCTCAACTTCCTCCCTTCCATTTTCTTACCTCTCCCACAACCTATGAGCTTCAAAGGATTGTACATACAGTACATAGTTTTTTTGTGGCTCCAAGGGTCTGTGAACGTTATTGTCATTCTAATTACATTTATGGCAATCTGTGGTATTGACTTTTAGTCATTTTATATTGGCAGTATAAATAGTTAATGTAGGTTTTATATTAATCATACCCATCTATAAATTCTTCCAAACAATTATCCCTTTACTAGCAATAAAAACCTTACAAAGTTCTAAACCCTTCTCAGCTCTATCCACAGCAAACACTTGACTTGCAGATGCGGCACGGTATTTATATATATAAATCCCCATTTGGATGTCAAAAAGTTGACATTTAGGAGGAAGCGGTGTCACCTTCTGAATACCTGGCAGACACTGCTTTACTGCCCTTTAAAACTGAAATCCACCACAGGTCACTTTTCAGCTGGGTGGCAAGGGCTGTCACCCATGTGAACTAGCCCTTTACACAGTTAATTGGTTTGAAAAAAAATACAAGTCTATGATGTTGACCCCACACCCAAAAAAAAAACCACCTTGCATCCTTAGAACCCAAATCCTTAGTTGATAAAGAGGAAGGCCAAAAAAGCAAAATGGTAGTTTATTCCAAAAGGGAATGGGTTACTAGGCAATCAGGTGTTCTTAAATAAATGCAATACAATGCTGTTTTTCTTAAATTAGAAGCTGTTAATATGTTCTGTATTTAGAAACATATTCGGCCTGTTTTTAAGAACTGAATGAGACAATTGAACATTTTTCCAGTTCTTACAGTAAAAAACTCTTTCCATATATGGAGATAAAACCTCTTTTCATTTAGTCACAAATAATGCCCCACCATCTTTTAAGCCAATAAAAAAATCCACACATGTTGATAAGAGAGACTTCCCATAGATGGCAAATATTCCTTGTTTTATGCTCTGGCACGTCTGGTACTTGAGCTGAAGATTGCAAAATCCCCCTGTGTGATAAGTACATCTGGCACCTTGATCTTTTCCTTTCTATATAATGATTACATGTAACTGAATATGTATTTTTCAAGTGTATTAGTCAAAATACTGTATGTATAACTTTGGAAAAATGCACATACAAAACATGTCTGACTTCATTATCAACTCCTGTAATCACTGTGTCCACACAACAGAGCAATCTGTGATTAATGTGTACATACAAAAAGCTGGTCATGAATGTTGGCTCCATTCTTCAGAAGAGTTTCAACCACTTTGGTGTGTCCATGCTGGCAGGCAGCCAGCAATGCCGTTCCTCCGTCCTGTAAAGTAATAACATAGATTTATGAAAGAATCTGCAATTCAATAGAATTCTTTATGGATGTAAACACCTGTTTTAGAAGCCACAGAGACATCATTTAGAAGCTAAATAGACTTACTTTCACAATTGTGTAACTAATAGGTAACTTCTAAGTCGAAGAATGATGGCTAAGAGAGGCTTATACCTGTGTGACAAATTCTCTTTTGTACACTAAGCCCCCGGTCACATCAGGTGCGACTTGGCATGCGATTTGCATGCAAGGCGACTTGAAAATCGTACGCCAAGTTGCACCCTATTGTCCGCTATTAGAGAGGTCATATTCTGACTTGGTATAAGCCTCTCTTAGCCGCACCAATTACTAAAGTAGTGAATGCACTACTTTTGTTGCGATTTGCATAGACATCTAAAAAAACATCACTTGCATGTTCAGGAGAGGAGAGTTGTAGTGGTGGAAAAAAACAAAATACACCTAAATGTGTGTAAATGCATTTAAATGTGTGTTTAGTGCTTGATAGTTAATTCATTCCAATTGCCAGAATTAATTAATATTCTGGCCAATGGAATGAATGAGCACCCAAACGTTTGATGTGCCTAAACACGTCTAAATATGCCTAAGTGTGTTTGAAAAACATGGCTTTAGGCATGTTTTTTAAGCTGCTATTTCCTCCCCTGGAGCACACGAGTATTGGGAAGGAAAAGAAAACCTTCTGTGTGCAAGAGGCCTTATGCGGGTGAAAAACACAAAGTGCAGGTAGGAATGTGTGAAATAATCATAAATAGTGCAGCGCTTAAAGCAATACTACGTGCAATTCAAAAAACTCCTTGTGGAGTGAAGCACATCAAGAAGCTTCCGGTCTGGGGCAATGGGAGTCCCCTGAGAGATCCACATCGTGAGGAGAGGTACTTGTCTTCAGGAAATAGGGATCCAGGGTGATCCTGAAAGCTGTTTGGGCCCCTGGGGGTCACTTGGAGGAGGTGAGGAGGCAATTTAGCCTTAGTAGGTGAAGAGTGCGGACACGCTCACGGAGTACAAGCACTATCTGCACATTGCATGAATTTTATATCACCTGTGGATTACTTCATGGACATTTTGTTTGATTATTTGAGTGGTATTTGAAGTGTGGTCACTTTGTTACACTTAAGCACTGTTTAATTATCCTCCTTTGAAGGGGGTTGTTATTATTTCTTTGTTGTGTGGGCACTGTTGTCAGGAGATTATTTTGAGTGGCACTATATGTTTGGGATACGTTTTATTCAATGATTTAATATATTTAATATTGTTTGTATTATCTAATGTTGACGCATTTGTATGTGAGCACATTTTTTTGAATTGCACGTAGTATTGCTTTAAGCGCTGCACTATTTATGATTATTTCGCACACTGTTTGGGTATCAGTTTAAGTTCTGGCAGCTTTCAGTAGGTGGACTTCCTTTCAGCGCAGGAGGACTCCTGTCTCTATTTCAGGTAGGAATGTGTGCCATTCCTTTAAGGGAAACCAATCCTTACAGAATCATGCATGCTGCCATTGTTGACCTCTCCATCTCAAAATGCTAGTTGCTTGGCTACTTTGTTGCCAGCCTTGATTCCGTACTTTGAGTCACAGACTGACAAGAATGCAGTTAAAGACTTCTGATATTTTTCTGATTTGCATACATATTCCAGCAATTTCAGACATGTAAGATAGGCAAGCCTTATGTTTTTGTGTTGACAGATTTACTTTAAACTATATATTAAATATGTTCCAACCAGGGGCGGACTGACCATTTGGGAACTCGGGCACTGCCCGAGGGCCCGGGTCTGTAGGGGGCCCCATGAGATGCCCCTGGTACTTTTCATAGGCTTTTTTGGGTGTGGTTTGAGTGTGGGTGAGGACACAGGGGCCCCATGATCCCTTATTGCCTGGGGGCCCCATGAGTTGTCAGTCCACCCCTGGTTCCAACAAGTGAAAATTGTCTAAGAGGAGATTTCCCTTACATTGTAAAGATACAGTATGTTCTTATGCTCTGTTGAGTTTACAGGACAGGAAGTGAAGGGAAACTTCCCTACTAGGACACAGATAGAAAAAAAGTAGTTTTTAACCCTACTCTGTGCAAAAAAAAAGAAATAGTTTGGTTTTAGACATACTTTAAACCACTTCCCATCCGACCCATGTACATAAACAGCTGGACGGGAGCAGTGCACGGGTGGGTGGCCGTTATACGTCCTTCCGCTTCCCTGCCTGTGCACGCTCCCTGGGAGCGTGCGGCAGGGGCGTCTCTAGGGTTGGTGTCACCCGGTGCTGGAACACATGGTGACACCCCCTCCAACGATCCCCGCAGGATGGATCGGATCTGCGGATTGAGCATAATGGATTGGAGTCCGATCCATTATCCTCCCCAATCCGCAGATCCGATCCATCCTGCGGCGATCGTCAGCTTGCAACCTATATGGGGTTAACTGATCTCTCCACAAGCTCCACGAAAAGGTACGTTTTAAAGCAAGCTGACCGTCTTTCTCCCCCCCTCTCTCTGCCCTCTTTCTCTCCCACTCTCTCTCTCTGCCCTCTTTTCTCCCCCCCCTCTCTCTCTGCTCTCTTTCTTCCTCCCCTCTCTCTCTCTGCCTCTTTCTCCCCCCTCTCTCTCTCTGCTCTCTTTCTCCCCCCCCTCTCTCTCTGCCCTCTTTCTCCCTCCCCTCTCTCTCTGCCCTCTTTCTCCCCCCCTCTCTCTGCCCTCTTTCTCCCCCCCTCTCTCTGCTCTCTTTCTCCCCCCCCTCTCTCTCTGCCCTCTTTCTCTCTCCCCTCTCTCTCTGCCCTCTTTCTCCCCCCCTCTCTCTGCCCTCTTTCTCCCCCCCTCCCCCCTCTGCTCTCTTTCTTCCACCCTCTCTCTCTCTCTGCCCTCTTTCTCCCCGCTCTCTTTCTTCCTCCCCCTCTTTCTCCCCCCCTCTCTCTGCTCTTTTTCTTCCTCTCCTCTCTCTCTCTCTCTCTGTCCTCTTTCTCTCCCCCCTCTCTCTCTCTCTGCCCTCTTTCTCCCCCCCCTCTCTGCCCTCTTTCTCCCCCCCCTCTGCCCTCTTTTCCCCCCCTCTCTCTGCCCTCTTTCTCTCCCCCCCCTCTCTGCTCTCTTCCCCCCCCTCTCTCTGCTCTCTTTCTTCCTCCTCTCTCTCTCTCTGCCCTCTTTCCTCCCCGCTCTCTTTCTTCCTCCCCTATTTCTCCCCCCCTCTCTCTGCCCTCTTTCTCCCCCCCTCTCTCTCTCTGCCCTCATTCTCCCCCCCTCTCTCTGCCCTCTTTCTCCCCCCCTCTCTCTCCCCCATACCTCCTACATGAAGCTGTGGTGCTGTCACCAGGGTCCAGGGATTACACACTGACCTGCTGCATACTCTGCCTGCCCCTCCAGCTCTTCAACTTCAGCATTAGTGGCAGGGATGTGGACCTGCTCCTCTGCTGAAACTCTGAGGAGGAGAGGTGTCCAAAGTGTCACTATGGTGACACTGTACTGCTAGGGTGACAGTATGTTAAAAAAAATCCACATAAATAATAAATAAAAAATTTAAAATTAAAAAAAATATATAGAAATATTATAATTTTTGGTTATAAACTAATTTGGTGGGTTTTTTTTTTTTTTTTTTTTTGCTAAAAAGACAGATGAATACATTTTGGCCAAGATTTATGAAGAAAGATTATTTATTTGTAAAATTTTAGAAAAAGAAAATTTTTTTTTTTTTAATTTCTGGACTTTCATTTATATAGCAAAAAAAATAAAAATCCCAGTGGTGAATAAATACCACCAAAACAAAGTTTTTATCTGTCTCAAAAAAATTCATGTGGTACAGTGTTGCATGACCGCACAATTGTCAAAGTATGATAGCACTGAAAGCTGAAAATTGGCCTGGACAGGAAGGGGGTGAAAGTGTCTGGACTTGAAGTGGTTAAAACAGGGTGCTCAACCCCTGGCCTGTGGGACACATCTGGCCCTCTGATGAGCCTTCTGATGTGGCCCACAACCGCAAACCAGGGAAGCGTATGCCCAGGGTCAGCAACCTGCTGATCTGGATGCGGCCGTAGAGAGAGAAGGAGCCGCATAAGCCGATACTTCCTCTGTAGTGCAGGCTCCTGTCCCAGGTGCAAGTACCAATTGATGTTCGCTTGAGACCTTTCTAGCAGCCTAGCAATGCCAGCAAAAGCTGGAAGAGAAAAAGTCTGCTTATTAAACAACACATACACTGCGCTTTTGCAATGGGGATATTAGCACCTATAAAAGAGATAACAACTTTTAGGCTGCTTTCCTTCAGGTTAGCTGCACTGAGCCATTGATTCTATTATATCCTGTGGGTTTGGTGTGATTTCTGAAAGCACATCAAAACTCCTGAAGGCAGGACATCAGTATGAAAGCACCCTTATAGGGGGCTCAGGACAGTAAGAACTCATTTACATTTGTGGTCTGGGGGGAGGTTAAAAACCCCATAGTTGAGGCGTGTTTTTACCACTGCTCCCCCCATCCCACCCCCCAACCACTGAAGTAGCATCATGGGTCGCAATGATGACCCTGCCCCGTGCTCCAGGGGGGGCATGTGGCGTCCCTGTCACATTCTGTTTTACACTTGGACAGGAGGGGTGGCGGGGCGGCATATACAGGAACTGATCCTCTCCATTTTCCTCCTGCAACCACTTAACCGCTCCTTTCCCTCCCACCGGCATTCAACGGCTGCAGGCGGAAAGTGTTCATCTCCTAGATTGTATGCTCCAAGGAGCAGGGCCTCAAATCCCTCTTGTATTGAACTGTATTGTTGCTGTATTGTCTCCCGTTATTGTATTGTACAGCGCTGAGCAAACTGTTGGCGCTATATAAATCCTGTATAATAATAATAATAAAAATAATGCTATTCAAAATAGAAAAATTCTAAATTCTGAACCATTTAATTTCAATGTGGGCCGCGACCGGTTAGCAAATCACATAAGGGTTGAGCTCCCCTGCTTTAAAAAAAAACAAAAACAATGGACAGACTTGATGGAACACTCAGTCCTTTTA